CTCTTTCCACTGCCCCGAATACCTTGACAAAGCAGAATGTACCTGTTACTTGGGCTGGTGCTGTGTGAGGAGGTCTGGGGGTGTTCCTGGGGGTGGTTGGGTGATGCTCTGGTCCGGGAACACCCACAAGATGCCATTCCTTGTATCTGGAGACTGTGCCTGGTGAGAGCTGCCAGGCTGTGTGTTTGCTGTGTTCAATAAAGGTGTGCAACCCACAGGTGCAGGATTCTGTCTTCAGCAGGCACAGGAGGTTTGGTTCCTTCGTCCTTGGGTGACCCCTGTGCTACAGGGCTCAGTACTCAGCATTGGTGAACCATGGCACACGTGGGGTTTGCCTTCCTGTTGGTAGAGGAAAAATCTTCCCTTGGCATAAGTTGGCGCTGAGTGTGTGCCAAGGGTGGTACACAGTGGTCCCTGTGGGGTGCTGGGAGTGCAGCAGCTTGGGGCTAAGCACCGTGCAAGCCACAGCACTCCTCAGTCCCTGATTCCACACAATATCCCAGGCTGTAATTACAACAGGAGTTCTAACTACCACCCCAGGGCAGCTGTGAGGGCTCCCTGTGGAATCCTGATTGATCCCGGTTGCCCACTGCCATGACCAAGTGGTAGAGGAACTGTGGGAGCAGGTTTTGCCCAGGGAGAAGCTGTAGAGTATGTGACAGTGCCCCATCACTTTGTGCCCCTAGAGCAGCCACACTCCAGCACTGTGCTCCTCTGCAGGAAGGGCACGTAGGAGGGTTGTTTTCAATGGAGAGATGATATGGAGACCATGGAATGTGTCTCTTGTTCGCGTGTCTGCTTATAAAAGGAGGTAACATGCCACTCCCGCAGCTGCCAGCAGGATCTGGCTCCTAACATTGCCTGACTGTGGTTCTCATAGCAGTGTCAGCAGCCTCAGGGAAGCAGGACCTGGGCAGAGCATCCCAGGAGGGAGCAGGAGGCAGCAAGGTGGCTACTGGGAGCTGCCGACTTTGGGAAGCAGGCATGGAAAAGTTAAGAGGGAACCATCTGCTTTGGTCCTGAATTTCAGCTGAGAAAATGTAGGGGAAAAGGGCCTGAACTGAGTGGGTAGTGGAGGTTTTGGGGGAGGAAAGTTGGGAGTTGTGTTCTTGGCAAGCACTGGCTCCCTATAAACTTTATCTTTGATCTAGAGGGATTGGATCCAAAATTCACAGAAATAAACAGAAGATTTTGGAACTATTTTTAAATCTGTTTCCAAGTGCTGTAGGGTCAGTACTGAGTGTGGTCTCACTGCTCTGAGCAGTGAGGAGGAATTGCAGAGGGTCTGAGACAGAGGTGATGAAAGTCAGGGGCCAAGAGGCCCCAGAAGATGTGTCCTGACACAGCCAACTGTTTGCACATCACAGCTGCCACTCTCAGGGATGCTGCAGGGGCTTTTTCCTGGGATTGAATGGGAAGGTTCATTTCAATCACAGAATCATTCAGGTTGGAAAAGACCTCTGAGGTGAGATCATCAAGTCCAACCTATGACAACCCCACCATGTCAACCAGACCATGGCACTAAGTGCCACATTCAGTTGTTCCTTAAACACCTCCAGGATGGTGACTCCACCACCTCCCTGGGCAGCACTTGTGTCTAATCACCCTTGGTGGGAAGGAATTCTGCCTAAAGTTTAACTTGAACCTCCCCTGGCACAGCTTGAGGCTATGTCCTCTTCAATGGGATCTACATTTCCCTCTCTTTTTAAACCCTCATGAATCAGGTAAATATTCATGAAACCAGGAAATCACACACACTAACTCCTAGGGCTAAACCTGGGCTTTGCCCAGCTCAGCCCCACAGCCCAGACATCCTGTTCCCTGTCACCAGCTCAGGGACAGTGTCTCCTGCCAGCAGTAACCACCCTGACAGCCCCTGGTGCCCCTCACCTCTGTCACGAGGGTGAAGTCAGTCTGTGTCACATGCCTGTGTCACACACTGGTGTCACATGCCGTGTCACACACTGGTGTCATAGTGGTGTCACACATTGGTGTCACACGTGTCACACACAAATGTCACACTTTCCATATTGTCTCTTCTCCAGGGACACCACTAAGAGAAATTACTATAAAACAAGTTTCCTGCCAGGCTCTGCAGCTCTAATGAGTCAGGAAGCTGCAATCTGGGAATAGTGGAGCTGTTGACAGAGCCTAATTATTCTCTGACAGCCTTTCTAGCACCGTTAGAAAATAAAACACCTACGTAGGCTCCAGAATCGCAGACTGGGTTAGTGATATTCCACAGGCACCTGGTAATTTATCCCCATGATCCTGGTTCAGGCTCCTTCCCCCTCACACCTGCTGTTCTCTGGCTGCTTCTGCAGCGAGAGGAACTTCATTGTAAAGGGAGAAAATTCCTCGGTGACATAGAGCTGCTGCTGCCTGCTCCCAAGGCTTTGCCTTGTGCTGGGGCCCACGGGAGGGGTTATGGCTCTGTCTGGATCCCAGGAAACATTGTACCTGTACTCTGCTGACCTCTCAGGTTGTTCCACCCAGTCCCACTGCTCTATGGACTAATCGTATTTAGTCCTTTAAAATTCTAATTGTCTGTCTCTCCTCCCCAAACCAGATCATCAATTCTTACTCCAAATTTGGCCTTTTCCCATTGCCTCCCCCTCTCAGAGTGCCAGGAGCACTGGGGCTCCATGTCACCCCTGTCCTCTCTCCTCCCCAGCCCTTATCAGGACTGTGCTCTGGGAGTTCACCCCAGGCTGGGTGAGCACAGGCAGCATTGCACAGCTGCTCCTGCTTTGCTCCATAGGGGATCAGGACACCTTTTGTCTCCACTCTTACCTGCATTCTGTGCTGTCATTTGTGCTTTCCCAGCTCTGTCCTTCCCAGGACTGCACGGCCAAACACTCTCCACAGCAGTCCCAGAGCTGTTGCTGCTCTGCTGCCAGTGTCTGGGTCTCAGCACTGTCCTTTCCCTGTCCAGCCATGAATTACTGGGCCCCCAAGAGCAGCAGAGCCACCTGCTCCATCCAGACTGTTCCATCCCTGATCACCCTGTCTTTCATCTTTCCTCTTTCAGGTCTAAGATCTGTTTTCCTGCCCTGCCACAGCCCATCTGTCAGTGGCACCTTCTCCT